GCAAGCATATTTTTTTGAGTGTATGTGAATAAATGTGCTCTTTTTCTATTTTTCTAAAACATAGAAATTGCTTATTTATTTATTTACTTATTTGTTTATTTATTTATTTATTTTCTAAGAATAATATTTGAAGAGTTGGGATGCAAAAACCTCTAAGTGCTGTATGAAAATTTTCTTTAAAATTTGCATTTTTCTCAGCCTTTTTTTTTTTTTTTTTTTTTTCACTTTAAAGGCAATGAAAATAACCTATTCTTTGCACCCAGGCTAAATTTACTGAAATTACACACAACAGCCTGAGAAAAAATGGTAATTTTAATTAAAAATTTCAAATGGCACTTAGAGGATTTTGCATCTAAACTCTTCATTTTGACTCAAACGGACCAAGTCCCAGACCCAATGCACAAAAAATACACTGAAATTCAAGCCTTGCTTTATATGGGTTGCCAAAGACACGTCACAGAACGATTTACAGTAAGCCTCAATGAGGTCTCTGTGGAAACCCGTCTCATACCTTTAAAAGTGCAGCTTAATTGTTACAGTAAATCACACGGCGTCTCACATTTGCATGAACGCTTCACAGAGGGATGCCTATAGGAACTACAGGCAAAGTGAAAGAACATTATTTGTGTCACATTTATCAAGAATATTTTTATTAAAATATTTGTAGAATTATGTACCGCTGAAGCTTTAAAGCATTGCACTTCCCTAAGACCATAGACTGCGAAAGAGCTCGAAGTATATCAAACACTGACTCTACAAAATGTAGGCTAATCATTGATGAAAAATGCCCTTTATACATTTTAACACCCGACTGACTAATAAATAATCATAGTCACTCTCCAGAGTCGTCTATAACTTTATATAATAATGACTAGTCCCTAGGCCGGATACGTAGAGGCCTACGCTATAATACAGTTTTAACGTGTTTTGCATAGCAGACTGGAGAGAGTTGGGCAAAGATGTGGAGATACAGAAGCTGAACGACTGTGCAGGGAAACTTGACCTCATTCTCTTAATGGAGTGCTGTGAAGCAGACAGCCCGCTCTCAGCTACATCATTATATTTTGACTCAAACGGACCAAGTCCCAGACCCAATCCACAGAAAAGAATAGAAGAAAAATAGCTTGGAATATGCTGGTCAAATACTACTCCTCACCTGCATGTCTGAATCAAACACTGCTCCCAGAGTATTTTTTTTTAAAGCACAAAGATGTTTTGCAGGTACATATAGTAGGAAACGTTTACGAATTGCACATAGAGTACAGTGGATTCCAAAAGTTCGAAAGCACTAGTAAAAATGCTTGTGCTTTTTTGTCATTACTGTAATAAAAGCCTGTCACAATAATCAATATATTGATTTATCTTGCAATACTTGGAGACAACCTCAATAATTTTTGTCTATATATTTACAAATTCATATTTTAACATTGGAGCCATTTTACACCGGTCTACCTCACCTGTGTCAGAGTTAATATTTGTACATTTACCTATTAAGAATTACTATGGAGAGTTAATAGTATATAATAGGACTAGGGCTGCACAATATATTGTTTGAGCATTGATATTGGAATCTGCAATAGTCACATTGATTCGCAAGATATACAATGTTGAGTTATGAATGTAGATAAATCCACAGGTCAAAACTCATGATATTCGTGGAGACTGCAGAATTTAACCATTATAAAGTGAAAGTTTAACATTTTTCATGTGATTTTAAGGCCAGTGTGATCATTTTAAGAGTTTAAAGCATCTTAAGAGAACATGAAGAGCATAAAAATGCATTTTATTGAATTATTTATGTGATGAAGACTCTACATTGCTCTTTTTATTTGATTATTAACTTTCTGTACCCGAATGCTGTTAGATACTCCTTGGTAAACCCTAAAGCAATGTTTATTTTACTTAAATATTTGTTCCATCGTGGTTGTTTATGACTGTAGTTTGTTTAATTATATGTATATACTAAATTACATAGAATATATTGATATTTCAGTTCGATACAAATCATCCCAATCAATCTAAAGTAATGACTTTCTAAATAGAGCTATTTAAGTCATCTAGTGAAATTGTATGGCAATATATATTGCAGGGAGAAAAAAAATATCGCAATGTCAAATTTTTCCAGTATCATGCAATCCTAAATAGAAAAAACTAAATAAAATAAACTTTTTAACAATAAAATATAGAATCTAAATTACATTAATTATGATAAGTATTTCAAAGTGTTTATGGCTATTTGCATTATTATGCTGTTAAATAATCATTATATAATCAGTGGAATAAAATTACTTCAAAATGACAATATTATCACTTTTAGCAACAATTTTTGTGAAATTCATTCATTCATTAATTTTCTTGTCGGCTTAGTGCCTTTATTAATCTGGGGTTGCCACAGCGGAATGAACCGCCAACTTATCCAGCACGTTTTTGCACAGCGGATGCCCTTCCGGCCGTAACCCATCTCTGGCAAACATATACACAAACTCATTCACACTCATATACGGACAATTTAGCCTACCCAATTCACCTGTACCACATGTCTTTGGACTGTGGGGGAAACCGGAGCACCCGAAGGAAACCCACGCGAACGCAGGGAGAACATGCAAACTCCACACAGAAACATCAACTGACCCAGCCTAGGCTCGAACCAGCGACCTTCTTGCTATGAGGCAACAGCACTACCTACTGCGCCACTGCGTCACCTGTAGAACAAAATAATTATATATTTTTGATATATATTTGTAGCATATTTAGTCAAACAATAAATGTCTAGTCTCTGTGCCATGCAGCAGTGCTTTATCATCAGCCCAGTCAGAGGATTCAGCCCCAGTCTGCAAAATCGTCTATTTATTTGTACTCAAATGTTTGAGGTACTTTTTGTCATTTAAAATAATTATGTAATTATGAGGTAAACCTTGATGTTTGTAAGTTCTTTTTTTAAACCAGTTTTATTGTGAATTTTTTACATTATTTATGCAATTTAATACCGTAATTAATACTGTATACTGTTATAAAATCTTCATCAATTAATTGAATCCTGGAAATAAGATACGGGGCATTCCTACACTGAATACAAAGCTGAATTTCCATGGCCTATAATGAAAGAATTAATCTATTTGGAGCAATATTTTTAACAACAAACAAAAATACCTGATATTCAATATATTCAATATAACAATTGCTCTAATAGTCATTCAAATTATCAGTTAGTATGTGTAAATATATATATATATAAATATATATATATTTTTTTTTCATTACAAATGATTCATACAATACAGTAAAATGTGATGGTCTTGGTTTGAGAATTGCACACAGAAAATCATAATGATGTTTTAATTAGACCTACAAAACTGCAGAATACACTTTTTTGTTTGTTTTATGATAGGAATCAAAATGTACAGCTTTAATTTCCACTTTAAAGTAGATTACACAAATCACAAAATTTTAAAGTTTTAATCTTTGCTGTCCAATGTATAGATTTAAATATTAAATGTTGATTAAATGAAATGCATTACAGTACAGAGCTAGAGTAGTGGCCACAATTGATTTTTATTTAGCATATTGATGTTATGTTGATGTAGATTTTCTAAACATATTTTGCTTGTGTTTTAATTGTTTCATTTATTATAACACAAGAAAATTTGTTTATCGAGGAATGCACAGGAGAATGGCTACTAATGAAATGGGGGAGAGCCAATTAAATATTAATAACTGATTATCATGTAGTCAGTGTATACTTTTCTTCCTGTGAGCTGTTTGTTTTTCTCTGCTTTTAGCATAATAAAATAAAGCCATATTGATGAGATGACAACATGTCCCTCATATCTAAACTTGCAAGGACATTAAAAGCAAATATTTTCCAAAGAACATTGCTTTTGGTCCCCACTGTATATCACTCTATGGTCACATATTATAAACTAAACTCTGACAACAGCTTCTCAATGGTGAATTATTGCACTATATTAAACATTATATCACAGCAAACGAGAAGCTTGCAGCAGTAAATAGTGTCTAATGTGACACGTAAATTGAGCGTGTGCATTTCAGATGCGGTTTCCTTTGATCAATGTGGTGAACGCTAAACATGAGACACTACAGATCCTCCATTAGAAATGTTTAGCCTACAATGACTAGGATTACGTTCCCTTATGTTTCCATTCCTCTATTTCAAGCAACATATTCTGCAACAAATATCCATTCGTAGAAGAAGAAAAAAATCAAAGCACAGCAAAAGAAACAAACATTTTAAAACCCTTTTTTATTCCAAACTAATCTTGCATAAGTCTGCAGTAACTCAATAGAGAATATATGAATGTGAATTAAAAAGCTTGGCACATACACTGTTCTCCGAATAAAAGCAAAACCAAGCAGATAAATCACAACAACAGTAAATAAACTCGCCCCCAAAACAGTCACCGCCACCAAAAATAAAAAGAAATCCTATTTATGCATCCTCTGAAAAAAATAAAGAATTAAAATACAGATGTATGTGCTTTGACATGCATGTATTTCATATATAGACAATTTGTTTTTTCAAAAGCACTCCCTAATCCATAAGGCATTAGGATTTTTTCGACGCACACCAATTTGCACTTCAAACCAGTGGGCCCCTCTTCATCCACCGTAGCGTTTGTTCACAGGCCCAGCAACACCCTGTGGATCCGCACACCAATATGAGTGACTTTAACAAAGCCATCTACGATTCGGCACAGGCCCAGAGGAAGCGTCTAGCCGTTTGCTTCGGCGTTTGCTCATACGCTTCAGGAAATTATGTTATTTTCTCGGAGTCTCCCACCGTGCCCCTTAGGCTCCGAACGTAACCGGTCGATCCATTAATATTGTCAGCTCAACTAGTCATTGGATACCCATTGTTAACTCTAACAAATTACATCCTTGCCCTTGAGGTGACTTTCCATTGACTCCCTCATGAGTATTTTTCCAGTTTTAGGTCAGCATCATTTAGCCCAATGTAAGGTTATCAACACAGCTGGACTTACCGTTCTCCTGATCTGATTTGTTGTCCTGCTCTGTGTCTGTGAGTGTTAAAGCGGAGTTGGATCGGCTTGACAGACGCGAGTCCCGACCGTGTGATTTAACCCATAGCATGGCGCAGTCAGGCGAAATGCCTCCTACGTTTTGGATGTGGTCTGCTCCGCTGAGCTGCGTATGATGACCGAGTCCGGTTTCCGCACAGAAGCTCAGACCGCGGCGAGGAGCAGGGCCGCATATCCCAAGCTGCCTCAGTGACAGACTCTGGCCTGCAAGATTCAAAGCGCATGCTTAATGCAGAGAGCATAAGAAGCAGCACACAAAATAACTTGTGGAAAATACATTCATATGCTGTTGAATTATTTAATGCTGCCTTTCGACACTTGCTGTATATACACATTTATGGAAAAAATATTTGCTATTGAAGATGCTGCAACAGCAGGTTTTTAAGTTCACGTTCGAAAATTTGCATGACAGATTTATTATTTAATTAACTTATTTTGAAGATTAATTTTGTACATAGGTGTTTTTGTAAATTGTATTCTGTGCAGAAATACAGATAATTTATCAAAATAAAGAGTAAAGCAGAAGACTTGATGCATGTGCTGTTCTAAAATACAGGAATTCTGGGTTAAAGTGCACAGTTACATTCAGGATGTTTCTGGATGCTGCTTTTCATTTTATACTGAAATACAGTTGAAGTCAAAATTACCCCCCCCCCCCCCCTGAATTATTAGAACATATCATATGTTATTAAAACATATCAGTTTTAATAACTCATTCCTAAAAACTGGTTAGTTTATCTTTGCCATGATGACAGTAAATAATATTTTACTATAGATTTTTTCAAGACACTTCTCTACAGCTTAAAGTGACACTTAAAGGCTTAACTTGGTTAATTAGGTTAACTAGGCAGGTTAGAGTAATTAGACAAGTTATTGTATAATGATGGCTTGTTCTGTAGACTATCAAAAAAAATCTAGCTTAAAATAGGTTAATAACTTTGACCTTAAAATAGTTCTAAAAAATTAAAAACTGCTGTTATTCTACCCAAAATAATGCGAATAAGACTTTCTCCAGAAGAAAAAAATATCAGACACACTGTAAAATTTTCTTGCTCTGTTAAACATAATTTAGGAAGTATTTAAAAAAGAACGAAAAATATAAAGGGGGGCTAATAATTCTGATTTCAACTTTATATGCACTGGAATACTTGATTGTGTTAGGGTCTGGTGTGAAGATGACCGAGTGGATTCAAATAAGTATGAGTGGAAGACAAATCATTATGAGGGGATGGCACTCAGCAGGTCCACCTTTATTTCAAGGACAGGTTACGGAATCAGGTAAGTAGCAGCATATGAAAAAATTACATATAGATTACTTGATAAATTGAAATTTATCGGGTATAAAGGGGAAATTATTTGGCACTATTATTATTATTTGTATTTTATTTATTGAGTTCATATTATTCATCAGTATTTGCTGGATTTATGATAACAACATCTAATTACTGTAGCTGTTGCTGTTGGGAAGGGGAGGTGGAAAGGGCACATTAAAAATGTGTAAACTGATGCTACTGTTAAATTGTTGAAGAAATTGTAAAAAATAAAAAGTAAAAAATATAATCATAAAAAAAAGAAATAATTTAGCAAAATAAAGAGTGACGAAGGAGACATGATGCATGCCATGTACTCATGTTCTAAAATACAGGAATTCTGGGCTTAAGTACACAGTTACATTCAGGATGTTTCTGGATGCTGCTTTTCATTTTGTCCGGGAATATATGTATCGGGAGACCCGTTCATGTTGAGGTCTATTGTGAAGATGTCTGAGTGGATTCAAATAAGTATTATGATTGGAAAACAAATCATTATGAGAGGATGGCGTTCAGCAGGTCCACCATCATTTCAAGAATGGGTTATGGAATTGGGGAAGGTGACAGCATATGAAAAAAAAATCACATACAGATTACTTGATAAATTGAATGTTTATCAGAGAAGATGGGGAAATTATTTTGGAAGCTGAATAAGGTCACTGTGGTGTGATGCACAGTAAAAGTGTAATAATCTTATTTTATATGTATCATTATTGTTGTTTTACTATTCTTATTATTTGTATGTGTGTTTTTTTTAATGGAGTTATTATTTATTTGCATTTACTGGACTTATAATAGCAACATCTAATTACTGTAACTGCTGCTGTTGGGGAGGGGAGAGGAAAGGGGACGTTAAAAATGTGTAAACTGATGGAACTGTTAAATTATTGAAGAACATTTTTTAAAATTTTGAGTCATAAAAAAAGAAATAATTTAGTAAAATAAAGAGTGAAGAACGAGACTTGATGCATGTGCTGTTCTAAGATACAGTAATTTCTTGCTAAAGTGCACAGTTACATTCAGGATGTTTCTAGATGCTGTTTTTCATTTTGTCCTTGAATATATGTACCAGGAGACTCATTCTTGTTGGGGTCTGGTGTGAAGATTCAAATAAGTATTATGATTGGAAGACAAATCATTATAAGGGGATGGCGTTCAGCAGGTCCACCATCATTTCAAGAATGGGTTATGGAATTGGGGAAGGTGGCGGCATATGAAAAAAATCACATATAGATTACTTGAGAAATTGGATGTTTATCAGAGAAGATGGGGAAATTATTTGGCATTTTTGGAGGATGAGTAAGGTCACTTTGGTCAGATGCACAGTAAAACTGTAATAATCTTATTTTATTTATTTTTGTATTATTATTGTTGTTGTTTTACTATTATTATTTTTTTTGTATGAGTGCTTCTTTATTTATTGAGTTTATATTATTTATTTGTATTTACTGGATTTATGATAGCAACATCCAATTACTGTAACTGCCGCTGTTGAGGTTGGGAGGGTAAATATGGAATAAAGTGTGTAAACTGATGGTGCTGTTAAATTATTGAAGAAAATAAAAAATGTTGAATCATAAAAAAGAGATGATTTAGCAAAATACAAGCAGAAGTGAGCAAATATTTTAAAGAAAAAACATAACACTTCACAAAAAAATGCTTTATTACTTATATTTAGTCCACTATATATATATATATATATATATATGTATATATATATATATATATATATATATATATATATATATATATATATATATATATTACTTTGTTAGATTACTTACTGTAGTTAATGTTAAATTGCACATTACATGTTAATAAACACTTTTTCATCGTAAAAAAATCTATGTATTTTTGTGGTTACGATTTCAAACAAATATTAATTTTGATCATTTAGATTAACACTAGACTCAATTCAAAATATTATTTAAGCTTATTGATATATATTTACTTAGAATAAAAATCAGAGTAAACTAATAAACAGTAACATTCATACAGTTTTGGCAAAAAAAAATGCAACCTATTTTATTCATTACCTAATTATAGGCACATTTAAAAATAAACATTATGTTTTTAAATCAGAGTAAAAAAAAAAAAACTACAAAAAACTATATATATATAGGATAAGTGGTCTGGAATCTGCATGTCACATATGTCACCTTACAACTTACTTTCTGCCTTACCTTCGTCTTCATTTTTTATTTCATTTTTATTTTTATTTTTTTTTTTGTTAGCAGGTGAATTTCTTTTTATGTGAAACTGAATTTCAGCTCTACCTCCTCCTCCAACATATATTTGAGGATTTACTACAGGCTACCAAATAGAAAGCGTTACACTTCAGATTGAAATTCACCTTGAGATTCTCACCACTCTACTTCCTTCAGCTCCGCTTTTAAAACCATATTCTTGTACCTGCTAGCATATGCTGAGTGCTTTATGGCTAAAAGCCCACAGAGTTGGTGACACATGAAAACGAACACAGCTGAATTTAAATTATGGCTACACTCATAGACACGAAACAAAATAACTCAACACAAGTGCTGACATTAATTACCACACGAGGGCATTATCTGAAATACACATTTTGAAATACTGCAAACTGAGGTAACCAATGCAGGCCAACGTGCCATGATTTATCCAGGCAGTGATTAAAATAAAATGATGGAACATTTGTATCATGAATGCATGGAAGATTTCTTTCCTTCGGCTTTTGTGCATAAACACGACTGCTAATTAAGGACGTCCCCCTAAGTGTAACAGCCTAAGGTTATGGAGCGCACTATAAAGCACAATTAAGCAAGTAAGTGTATTTCTAATGAAATTAAATTTCAATGAGCAGCATCCTACCCTTCCACTTAAAATGTGTCTAATCATAATACACCATCAAATATTTATAGAATAGTTTGAACAGTTTGTGAATAATCAGCAAATGAGTGTCTGCTGGGCTGTGTTAAATAATAAAAAAAGAAGATAAAGCCATATGTGAAACCCTGAATACAACTGTGAAAAAAAAACTCCTCAACGACAGGCTGAAATAATATATATAGATCTTAGTAAATTAATGCAATTTTCATTGAGGGCTTCTACAGTGCTCAGCACATATACTGTAAGTACACCGCTCACAAATCTCTCTTTTAAATTCATATTTTAATAAGGAGCTATACAATATTATATTTGTGCATATGCATTAGATAAGTCAGTACTGAAGCCAAATCTGGAGCTTATCTACCAAAATAACTTACAATAACAATTCAAAAACTAGCACACCTAAATTTATATGTTATAGGAAAATATTGAATACACATTTTAAAAAGAGGAAAAATCAAGAGAAGCAAAAACATTGAAAGATTTAGTTGATATTATGTAGGTTGTAATTTATTTGCAATATTTTGCTTGAATTTAAATGTATTGTCTTTCAATTTCTAAAAATGTTTGGTGACTAAAATATTATTTTATTAAATATATCTGTTTTACAAATCTGTTTTGCTTAAATCCACCAGAATATATTGCCTATATTCACTGAGAAATAGATCTAAATATTCATTTTCAAAATAGGGTGTACTCATATATGCTGAGCACTATATATACATTCAGTTAATTAAAAAAATTATATATATATATATATATATATATACATACATATTGTATATATACATACTGTACATATATATAAATTCCACAAATATCACAACTTTTGTGGCTCTGTTAATGCATAGAGTATGTAAAATGTATTCAAGAAAAAAAGTAGGTGTTGGATTAAAGTGCAGCACTGCAGTTTAACTGCTGCTTGCAACCAGTACAATCAGACATGTATTGATTTGAAAAAAGGTATTTATTGAACGGTAAATGGGCTGCAATGTAGTTCCTTTTCAAGGAAATTATCTCCACTTGTTATATACTGTACAGCTGTATTTTTTAAAATGTAGGAAATACTAAATGTTTCAAAATCATATGCTTATATTTCAAGGATTGAAGTTCTATAAATCTGGCAAAGTTATAGCAGTTTTTATAGCACAGTTATTATATACTGTATTTAATTACGTTATTAATTTTAATAAAATAAAATAAATAAATAAAAAATAGAATAAATAAAATTAATTAATTAATTAATTAATAATAATTAATTTTTTTATTTATTAAATTAATAAATTATTTAAATTTATAAAAATAATGAGACAAAATAAATAAATAAAATAGTAAATTAATATTAAATTAAATAAATGTTAACACACACACACACACACACACACACACACACACATTGTATTATATAAATTACTATGTTCACATTATATTATAGATTTGTATTATTATTTATAACATTTTATAATATGAATATTATATAACTGGCAAGGAATTATTTCTACTTTTCATTAAAATAACGTTAACTTTAATTTATTTGACCTAAAATTTACTTGAAAATGCGTTTTCAAGGACATGGGATTTATTTTCTGGATAAGATTGAATTAAATCAGAAGCTTTAGCTCCTGTTTGGGTTAAAGCTCAAGGTGAAGTCAGGTCACATTACTAATTTAATGATGTACTACAGTATTGCCACACTGTGCACTGTACTGTGCATTAGGACTTAATTTAGAAAAAAATCCTCACAACTTTGTGCATACTGAAACATATGCCACTAAATTGCTAAATACATAAGTTTTTTTTTCTTCGTTGAGTATTATATCTAGAAAACAAAGTGTATACTTCTTGCTTTTTTGTTTTGTTTTTTCAGCATTTTCAAACATCTGCTTATCTTTCCATTTGCATATGGTGAATGTTTAAGGGCTCTTACCTGGAGCTCTGTATTCCTCCGCATCCCTTGGTACCATGTCTGGCATGCGATGCCCATAAAGCCCCTGGGTGGACGGGTGTTGATCAAAGGCCTTCAGCGTCTCACTGGAGCTGTAGGACTTCTGGGTGAGCACAGAGGATGAGCCGGTCTGACGGCGGCTGCCGGGACCCTCCCTAAAACCCTCCCCTTCGTCTCGGTCTCCTTCCCTCTCCCAGTCTCTCCCTCGTTCTCTTCTGCCCCGAGAGAGAGAGCAGTACGGCCGACGCTCCTTCACCTCCATGCTGCGTTCATGCTGTGATCCTCCACTCCTGCGCTTCTCTCCTGCTTCTGTCTGTTCTCGTTTGCTCTTTTCCAGTTGTCGTTCTGTGTCTTTCCCCTCTCTTACGCTCCCCCTGCTCAGAGAGACAAAGAGACACTGGCTTAGTGAGAGAATGAAACAGGTAAAGAGAAAATATAAAGGAGAAGGACAAGTAGGCTATTGAAAAAGGCTCGGGTGAGATGTCGCTCTTAGTTAGTTCATCAAGCACATTGTTCGTTGAATAATTAGTCACGACAAAGAAAGAGAGTGTGCAGAGGCCGATGACTAGTAGTTTTCTGGTAATAGTGTTAATTCATATCACTAATCTGTCAAGCACTTTAAATAAATTGTTTCTTTAACACATGATCTTGCAATTTGTTTTATTTTTTATGGATTATTATGTCAATTTAATCAACATACTGCATATGTGTTTGAAACATGAGCAAACTGGAGTAAAATATAAATGCACTTTAAGGGGGAATTAATATAAAAAATTCAAATATAATAAAATAAAAATATTTATTTTAAAATAATACAATATTTGATTTATATATAATAACAGTTATTTTTAACAGACAACAAAGCAATGATTAAAATGAATATCAAATTACAGTTATACATTATGAAAAAATATAAAAACTTTTTTTTTAATTTAGTAACTTAAAATTACTTAACAGAACTAATAAAATCTATAAATATATGGCTAAAATGAAAATAAAAACAGAAAATACACTTGTATAAATAATTAAAACAAATAAATAAAAACATAAATAAATGAATACAACAATAAATAAATAAATGAAACAAATAAATAAATAAAACAAATACATAAATGTGTAAATAAAATAATTAAAACAAACAAGTAAGTAAATAAATGCATAAATAAAAATAAATAAATAAAATAAAAATAAATAAATAAATAAATAAATAAACAAATACATAAATAAATTAATTAATTAATTAAAACTAACAAATGAATAAGTAAATAAAAATAAATAAAAACAAATACATAAAACAAAAATTAACAAATAAATAAAAATAAATAAAAATAAATGCATAAATAAATAAATAAATAAATTAACAAATCAAACATATAAATATATAGATCAATCAATCAATCCATCAATAAAACCTAATTCAGACTCTTAATAAAAACTACTTGTTACCCAAAGAAACTAAAATCTCATTTTATGTTTGTTAGTTTTTTTATCCAAAATAAAACTAGACCCCACTGAAACACTTCAATGTATTCTTTTATGTTCCAAGTCAAGATTAGAGAATCACGACTAAATGAGTTTTCATGTTTACCCCTTTAATACAACCACTTTAAAACACAAAAACACAATTCAACTCAGTTCTCCAATGAAAGAAAACTCTATGTTTTCCAGCAAAGACAAAGTCAAACTAAACCCTAAAAATGCTCGCTTTCATTGAACTGGCTTTGTCATGACAGATCCACACACACACACACAGGCACACTTGTAAGCCTTTAGTAGGTTTCCTGGGAGGTTGGTGCCAAACCCTGTTCGACAAAGCTCTGGAGAATTGGTTTTGTTTCTCTGGTGTGCGAGTTAAAGGATATTCCAATGCTTCTTCTCTAGTGTCGTCTATCTTATCTAGCAAACAGTCTTCATGCTGAACACATTTGCCTAGACCACACTGTCAGTTTAAAGCAATATAAAGAGGACAAGAGAAACAATGAGGATAATAAAACACTGTAAGAAGAAACAGAGGCGACTAGGTCAGCATTACTGCATACTGTATAGCCACACTAATGGGATACGAATGCGATCAAATGAATGGTGCCCCGGTATCAAAACACTCCAGTCAGAAAGAGAGAGTGAGGTAAAGTTTATCGGACAGTATTTCAGCGAGATCAATTAAACGTACTTCTCTTTACAGCGCTGGTCATTTCATTCTCTTGTGCGAGTGCAATGTTGTGCAAAGGCGCAGTGGGCCGACTAACACACCAGCAGAAACCCTCAATCCTTCATTGCATTGGACAGCACCCACTGAGTTATCCTCGGGAAACACGGCCCCTGTATTCGGATCAATTTAGATTAGCCAGGGGCAGGGGAGGCTCAGACATACTGGTCTAGTCCTAAATGTCCTTAAAACTGGACCCTGAGTCTATAAGATTATCATCCGTTGAATTTCCAAGAAGAAGAAAAAAGAATGATGGTTGATTATGAAGCAGTCAGATGTACTGACATAAGGAATAAAAAAATATTTCATTCATCAAGAGCTTAGTTAACCATTCAAACAAGAGATGGTATTTTGCTGATACGCTCGTGGATGTTAAAAATTCTTCATGGAACCAAAGGTTAAATAAATAATGACTTTTTTCTTTTAATCTTTTACCTTTATTGTTTTTTTGTTTGTTTTTTTACTTTGGACTGAGAATAAAGTAAATAACTATCAGTATATATGAAAAATTCTTCCCTCGTCAAAAGCTTGATTAAACATTTTAACCAAGTTTTAGCAAATATAGACTGGAAAACACCCATTTAGAAAAGTTTAGAGAGAATGAAAGCCTGGAATACAATTTTTCATTATAAAAGTATTGAATTTTTTTTCTTCTTTTTCAAATCTCTTGGTTACAAAATTAAGCGAATAACGCTTAACAAAACACTGTTTATCTCTTTTGTCTGATAAATTCTATAGGATTGTCATATGTTGAATTTCCAAGCAAAAAAAGACTGGAAAACAGGGAAAGATGAGACACTTATTCCACAAGACGAGACATGGGATAAGTTCAAGAGAATGAGACGAAACAAGATTTTGACACAATTTTTAAGAAATCTTCAATGATGAAACACATAAACGGAAAATAACCTTTTATTCATATGGGAAAAAAACACAAAATGCAAAACTATGTAGGTGGTTTTTCATCAACTTTTAATGAATGTTTTTTTGCTTTTATTTGAATGAATTCTATGCTGTAAAGGACATGCAAACACTGCCAAATAGTTTGCTAATACATAAATGGAAAATAGTGTTTATATATTTAAATATTTAAATAATAATTTATGAATAAAAAATACATTTTTATTTGATTGAAAAAAATTCACAAAATGCAAAACAATTTATGTGCTTTTTTAAATCAGCTTGTAATGAATGTTATTTTACATTTACAACACTTGACTATAAACTCTACTGACTGGCTTCTCCCATGTACATTTTGTCATGAGAAACCGAACTCATTCATTCATTCATTTTCTTTTCAGCTTAGTCCCTTTATTAATCAGGGGTCGCCACAGTGGAATTTATCCAGCACCAATTTATCCAGCATATGTTTTATGCAGTGGATGCCCTCACAGCTGCAACCCAACACTGGGAAACACAGATACACACTTGCATTTGCATACATACACCACAGCCAATTTAGGAGGAGTTTACAAGAGTTTTCCGGAAGAAATAACAAAACAACAACAAAATCTCTGTTCTTTCTCTTTAACATAATTTTTAAAGCTCTTGACTCAGAATTTAAGTGTATAAAATGTAACAAAATACTGTTAAAAATGTAAGATTAATACCTAACACCCTAATACCTAACACCCTATTAATACCTAACACCCTATTTTGTGTCAAAAACCTACAAACTTAAAAATAAAAAAATTCTTCATTCATCAAAAGCTTGCTTAAACCTTTTAACCGAGAAATGTCGGTGGTTTGAGTTTTAGCAAATAGAGTCTAGAAATCCCCCATTTAGAAAAGTTTATAAGGGAGAGAAGCGGGGATATAAATCACGGTGGAGCTCTGGCGGTTGTATCATGCTCAGGTGGGCACTGACCCATGGGGCCATTGAAAAGCAAAGACTCAGCAGTGAACAGAGGGGCCAGTGGGAACTATATTGTAGCAAGAAGCGACCAGGCAAAAAGATGTCACTTGACTATACCTCACTTATGATGATATAATGGCAATGGCTTCACTAAATCAGGCGCTCGACCATCTGGGGTGACTAAAGAAAGGTGAGAATGAAACAGGATAGTGACCCAGGACACTGCGGTCGACAGATGCAAAATGACCTGCCAAATGAAAAGCAAATCTTACATTTCGCTTTTAAATTAACGGGACAGTTCATCAAAAAAATGTAAATTAAAGAACAAATTAAGCCTAACGCACTTCTAGATTTGGCTTGATTAAAATGAACTCTGGTGTGATTGCTCTGTTAGTGCTGTTCATTTGAATAAATGTGAATATTGCCATCCAAATCCTGGTGTGCTCCAAACAAGCGGACCGAGACCCATCTTGTCCAAACAAACTTTATTTGTGGTCCAAATTAACCCCACTGCACTTAATTCCACTGCAGTGTTCAAGACTATATAACAGAGTGTGCACCTGGCTCTTTATTCATTCCTTCATTTATTCATTTTCCTTCGGCTTAGTTCCTTATTTATTAGGGGTCGCCACAATGGAATGAACCGCCAACTATTTCAGCATATGTTTTACACAGCGGATGCCCTTCCAGCCACAACCCAGTACTGGGAAACACCCATACATTCTCACATTTACACTCAACACTATGGCCAATTTTGTTTACCCAATTCACCTATAGTGCATGTCTTTGAACTGTCAGGGGAAACGGGAGCACCAATAGGAAACCCATGCAAACATGGGGAGAACATGCAAAATCCACACAGAAATGCCAACAGGCTCTGCTGAGACTCGAACCAGTGACCTGCTTACTGTGAGGCGACAGTGCTAACCATTGAACCACTGTGCCACCCTCCTGGCTCTTTACTTTTCAATAAATTGCCATTGTACTATTAGCTTAACCTATACATCATGTAGGCTCCTGGTAAAACAGCATGATTATACTTCAAATTAAAATACTTCTCACATAATTTTTGTGATCATTTATTTCCATGACGTTCATCCCATTCCATCTGTCACTTATTATTAATAGGAGAGTTAATTACTGGTCTAAGGTCAGAGGAAGGAACAGCTCACCGCTGAGCAAAATCATTATCAACACTGATTTGAAAAACACATTTTAATCTTTGGCTTAACATCCTGTTTACAGTGCATGCCCAAAATATTAAGCATGAAGTAGTCTAAATAACCGTAGACTCGCTCCTGAAAATCCATTTGTTG